ATGAAGAAGGATTTAAGTTCAAGCTTTGTGCTTTAACCTGCCTTCCTCCCCTGACAAGGGTAAAATCCTTTCATTGTGTTGCTAAAGTCCATCTGCAGTTATTTCAGATACGCATCTAAGGAGTTGCTGCTCTCGTACTGAAAATATGAAATATTGAAATAAAGAGCCAGAGTGGCTTGCTCAGCTGGCAGCCTCTGTCCCCACCGGAGGCGCAGGTTTACTTGGTACTGGGTGGGGAGGGGAGAGAGGTGAGCAGCCCTGAAAGGGTGAGGAAGATGAACTTCCAACTTTTAAGTCAGGTATTACCCAAAACGCTGAGACCTGGGGTGAGAAAGAGGAACCCAGCCCAGCCCACCTCACCCCTGGGAAAAAAAAAAAAATTCGTATAGATTCTGACTCATAGCAACCAAGACCCTAATTTATTATTTTTTTAAACTGTGATATGGGTGAAAGTTTACAAAGCAAATTGGTTTTCCATTCAGTAGTTCACAGACATTTTGTTTTATGACATTGACTGCAATCCCCACAATGTAACAGCTCTCTTCCCACCTGCTCCCTGTGTCCTACTTTCCCTTCCTCTGAGCTACCACCCTGTGCAAGTACTGCTCTTCTCATCTCCCATGCAAGGCTCTAATCTTTATGGAAGCAGACTGCCATGGCTTTTTCCTGCAGAGCAGCTGATGGGTTCCCACTGCTGACCTTTTGGTTAACAGTCAAGAGCTTTAACCACTGTGCCACCAAGGCTCCCAGGAGGAGGAGGAGGAGGCAGGAAGTGATTATGTAAATTGAAATGTGTGGTTCCTAGAATACAAACCCATGAATAGGTAGGTGTTCTGGTTCCCTAGTGCCACTGTGACAGAAATATGCCACAAATGGGATGCCCTTAACAAACAGGAGGTTTATTCTCTTACAGTTTGGAGGCTTTAAGTCCAAGTTCAAAGTGCTAGGCTCTAGGGGCTGGGTGAAAGCCCCTCAACCTTGGGGTCCAGCTCTGCCTCCTGCTCCCGGCCCACTGGAGCTAGAGGCGTTTCTTCACTCAGACAGCTGCTGGCTGCTGAGGCTGACAAACCCAAGGTTGACAAGTAAAAAGGCACAGTCCCGATGTTACCAAACCACACGGCAGGCCATTAACTTAAGTCCATTGTAAGTCCCAAGGTCGGCAGAGTATGGCAGGCTGCTGAACAACAACATGGCATGCAGGGTCCAAGAGTGCCATAAGCTAGAGACTAGTCCCAAGGCCTCTCTTTATATACAGGAAGCAGGCTACATCCCAAAGGCAGCTACTCAGTTGCTTGTGGTAGATCCCACCATGGAGTTGATTGCCAGTCTCATCATGGGGAATAACTACCACCAGCTGCCCAGTCACGCAACCAGGCTTAAATTAGTTAACAAATTTAACTACCACAGTAGGCATCTGTCCATACAAAGCTATTGCCTTGGATTTTTGCAGCAGTGGTCGTCTTCGTCATACTCCTCGTTAGTATAAATGGGAGCTGGCCAGCTGTCAGTGTTAGACTTGATTTACTCATTAAAAAATTGGCTAACATATTCTCCTTGCTTGACATGTATTAACCATTTACTCTTTAATCCTCACAACCAGATAAGGTAGGTTTCTTATTGTTTTCATTTTACAGATTTACACAAAATTGAGGCAGAGAGATTATCAGGGATCATACAGCTAGTAAATGGCAGAACTAGGATTAGAACCCAGATAATCGCTCTCTGTAATCTATGGTGTTACATAGATTTGTTATGGCAAATCTAACAATATGAGATGAAAATTGACATAAATATTCGTGGTAGTTATCTCTCACATTTATAGAACGCTTTAGAGTTCAGACAGCATTTATATTTCTTACTTACTCCTCACGGCATGATCTCCATCTGGCAGATTAAAACACTAGAGCACTGAGAGCTTCATTTGCCTAGAGTCATGCAACCAGGAAGCAAGAGAGAACACTCTACCTAGGTTGAAGCACCACAGCCTGTCCCAGCCTCTCACTGTTGGATGTGCTTTTAGCTGAATCATTGCAGAGAGGAGGTGGGAAGTGAACCGAGGGCAGCAACCGCAGCCTGCGGATACAACAGTAACAAAAAGTGTTTGTTCGATTTTTCCTCCTTCTATGGTTTTGGAACCTGCAATTCTGCTTCTCTGGCAGTCATTCTAGGAGTCCCTGTGAGGTCCTTCTCTTCTGCAGCGGTTTGCTTAGTTAGTGTGGCAGCCGTCTCTCTGCCCTCAGGCTACCAAGTCTGGTGCTGATGAAGCTAAAGTCACTGTTGGTGTGGATGTGAGGCTGTGCCCTGACACGGCTGCCCCTCAGCTTAGAGCAAAGGCGGAGAGATCTTTCTGCTGGTGTAGAGAAGTCCTCTCGCTGGGGTTATTCTCTGTTATATTGGTCTTAGAGCTTTGCCGTATCTTTCTCTAGGCTGGTGAAAGACTCACCACTGCCTTTTCTTTCCCCAGGATTGCAACTTGTTAAAACACTGAGTCGGCATGGATTCTGATTCAGTAGGTGCAGGGTGGGGCCCGAGAACATGCATTTCTAAGAAGCTCTGAGTGCATTTCCCTGTGCATATACTGCCCTTCTGTTCTCCCATGATTGATCCTTCCAAGGAGTGTATCTACCTGATGTAAATGTTCAGCCCATGTGCCTGTCTATTGTTTGGCTGGCAGCCACAGGAATGAGTTCAGTGGGTTTTGGGTTTTTTTAACAATAATTTTTTTTTCCCCTAGGAAGCTTCTGAATCCCTCAAGAAATTAGACCTCAGTTGGCTGTGTTATGTGGTTTCCAAGTAGATTTTCTTTTGGGGATGTTTGTCTTCTATTTTATTTTTTAGGTTTATTGTGTTATTGTATTGTGGTCAGATAACATGGCCTCTAAAATTTCTGCTTTTTTGAAATTCACTGAATTTTTCTTTGTGGTCTGGGTTACAATAAATTTTGTAAATTAAAAAAAAAAAAATTGTAAATATTCCATGGCTAATTTGGCATCATTCAGCGATGAGTATGGCTTGTCTCATTTCTTTGCTGCTTTAATTTTTATTGTTTAAAAGCAAGGATGGTTAAAAGTATTTCGAAATCTCTGGGTCTCAGTTGGTTTCACTCCTGCAGCAGCCTGAAGGCTAAACCAACCTGTATTACCTGGATAGTGATGGGGCCAATACAAGATGAAACTCCATGGGGGAAAGTTCTCCTTGCAAGATCACTCCTGAAATTACAGAGACACTGAGTAAAACAACATCCCACATAGCCTCCAGCAGAGATTCTTAGCTGATCTTAGGCCATACATCACCATCTGGTAGATTTGGATGTTGTGGGACTTTCAGTCACAAACATTGCTGCTGTTTATCTAAATAATGAAGATCTGGTCATCCTGCTGGGAACTGGCTGTTATCTCATTGTTATCTTGAACATACTCACTTCTTCTTTAAGAGGCAAGAAGGTAGTGTAATGGAGAGATGCTTTCCTCTCCCTTCCGTGTGCTTTGTGAGTTGTAGCAAGCAGGACTGCAGGTTCATTTGTTCAGTCTAGCAACAAAAACATGTTGAGTATTTCTACTGTGCCAGGATCTGGATAAATGCAACATAATCTCTGTCCTTGAGAAGTTCATTCACTATATCTAGCAAGAAAGATAGAACTGGAACCAAATATAATGATACATTTACGTGATTGATATTGCGATGTACCATGTACCAGTGTCAAGGGAGCGAGAATGGAGGAATGGGCCACCCAAGCACAATAGTTGGTCTCTATTCACCTGGAGCAACAAAGAAAGAAAGAGTCAGGAATAGGAGGGAGATATGGAATGTGTGTCTAATTGCTTCCATGAACAACTGCCTTCTTTGCCATGAGACCAGAATAACGGATGGTGCCTGCTTACCATTACTGAACAATTTGATCGAAGATTCCATAGAAGAATCCTGATCAAAAGGTGGAAGATGCAGAAAAGAATTCCAAATTCTCATGGCCTGTAGACTTTCTGGAGCCACGGAGGGTAGATGAACCCCTGAAACTATTGCCTTGAGATCATCTTTAAACTTTAAACCAAAAATATCGCCTGAAGTTATCTTAAAACTGAACAGTAACTCAGCTTAACTAGTAAAAAGGTCAGTCTCGAGCATTACACTCTTTTAAGAACTAGGTATGTGGGATCAAATGAACAACAGTAACTTGAAAGATAAGCAAGAAACTTTAGGGGGTAGTGAGTTTATATTAATGAGGGAGGAACAACTCAGGAAAGAAGGATGAGAATGGTTGCCACAACTCAAAGAATATAATAATGTCACTTAATTGTACAGGTAGAAATGGTTGAATTGGTGTATGTTTTGCTCTGTATATTCTCTGCAACAATAAATAAAATTTAGAAAAAAAAGAATGGAGAAGGCTTCAGAAAGATTGTGACATTTAAGTTGTGTCTCGAGGTATGAGTAGGTGCAGAGACAAAGGGGTACACATTCTAGGTCACACTACCTGCAGATAATGTTATGGCTAAACTCTAAAACTCACTGCTGTTGAGTCAAATCTGACTCATAGAGACCCCTCCTTGGGTTTCCAAGGCAGTATCACTACAGATAGTTGATTGCTCAACCTTCCTTCCAAGGAGTGGTTGGTGGGTTTGAATGCCGTAGGCACTCCGGCACCAGAGCTCCCAATGTTACCGCTGAAGCAGGGATGTATCACGGTGGGTTGCATGTTAGGGAAAGAGGAGTTGGCTTCTCCTGGCTCAAGAATACCTTGTAGGGTTGGGGGCTGGAACAGTGAGGCTGGAGGAGTTAGTCTGCAACATGGATTAAGAGCATGGAATTTGCACTTTGTCCTGTGAACACTGAGTAGCCATTGAAAGGGTTTAGGGTTGAGATCAGTTCTGTCCTATTTTATTTTAGTATTCAAATTTTGGTTCTCCATTGTAAATGTCTACTACCCAAAACGTGACTCATGTAGAATAGGTGACTGAATTTTTCTTTTCCTAAAACTTACAATTTATGGTTCAGGGTTAGATGTCTGTGCCACTTGCCATGAACATGCCACCTGCCAGCAAAGGGGAGGGAAGAACATCTGTATCTGCAACTACGGCTTTGTGGGCAACGGGAGGACCCAGTGTGCTGGTAAGTCCTGGATTGTGAGCTCGGCGAAGAGTTGAATCATGAAACAAGATTCTTTGGTGCTAAATAGTTGATGTCCTTGAGGGGAAACAGTGTTATTTTGCACAATGCTTTTATTATAAGAAGTTTTATAAACTATAAAAAGGTCTTTGTTTTCTTGTTTAGATATATCTTTTCGCTAATGTTTGCAAGAAAGTGTCCCTCCTATTAGAGGTCATTGAACTTGAATATCTGAAGACTCTCTGATATAGCACAAATTTGAAATGTTTTAAGACTTGAGCTTGATTTAACAACTCAAATAAATATATTTCTTAAGCTTTCTGATGGTTTTGATATAAAGCTCTTTATATTCACACCAGAAGGAAAAACAAAACACAATTTCCTATTGTTTTTGTTGGCTAATTGGTGAAATGTTAGTGCTTTGTCTATGTCTACCAGAAATGTCTGGGAGCTCTGGTAGCATAGTGGCTGAGACACTTGCCCACTAACCAGACGGCTGGCGGTTCAAACTCACCAGCCACTCCTCGGAAGGAAGTTGGGCAATCCTACTTCCGTACTGATACTGCCTCGGAAACCCAAGGAGGGGTTGCTATGAGTTGGGTTTGACTCGACGGCACATAACAACAACAACCAGAAATATCTACGTCTTCCAAATTATTTTATCATTATGACCCTTTGGGGTCTTGGGTGACTTGAAAGAATATAAAGACTATTAGGCTAGAAGCATCTGAGATTATTTTTGCCATTCCATCCACCATTCCATGAGAGCCAGACAATATCCAGGTTCAAGCCCAATTCAGAGGGAGATTTTCACAACAGTTTTATATAGTAAATGTTACCAGAATCTCCCAGTTTCTTCCCAGTGACCTTGTTACACACAGTAAAAATACTGAGTTTTGCATTGCATTTGTAGATCGACAGTGTAGCCTTATAGTATCTTTTTTTTCCCTCCCTGAAGATAAATAATAATTCAGCCCTGAGTTCAAAAGACCAAACCAGCAGCTTCCCCTGGCCAGGCCAGCACATTCCATTTGACAGATACAAGCTTTCCCAATCACAGCCAGTGACCATTCCTGCCGGCTGCAGTTGGGTCATCTTTGACCTTCTCCCTGTAGGCATCTACCCATGAGATGTGTGGCCTCTCCTTTCCAGCTCCCTTGCCCACTCCCCAGCTCCACTTGCTCAGCAAGGATTGGAAACTAGTTGGGGAGCACAGACAAGCCTTTTCTGCCCCCTCCTCAAATGAGTTCCTCCTCCCAGTAATGCCATCTGCTTTCTTGATTGGGCTTTGACTTCTGAATAGAAACTTCTCTTTGGAGAGGGGGTTATTAATTTAAATGGTATTTGCTCCCAAGGACTGGGTACTGCATATCCTTCTCTCAGCACACTGTTTGCAGAGATTGCACCATAGGGCACAGGTGAGGTTATATGTGTGTCAGAGGTAATATAACATGATGGTGTGAGACCAAGGGACCTATGGGCTCTAGAATCCTATACAAAACCCAGGTGTCCCTTCTGGTGAAGTTTATAGGGGAGAACTTGGAAACAGTTATGCCTCAGAGATGACAACAACAGCAAAGGTCAGGATGATAGGCCATTTTAGGGGCAGCTGGACTTGTGCTTGAAACTCACATGGTTCTGTAAGCTGGGCTGGACATTGTTCTAGATAGAGGTTTGAGAGCCTGTTCTATCTTGGAGCACTCATGCAGATCCTGTCATGCACTGTTTTGTTGTTGTTGTTGTTGTGGGAATGTGTTGTTGTTGTTAAGTGCCATCGAGTCGTTTCCGACTCATAGCGACCCCATGCACAGCAGAACGAAACCCTGCCCGATCCCGCGCCAGCCCCACAATCCCTGCTATACTTGAGCCCATCATCACAGCCACCGTGTCAATCCATCTCGTTGAAGGCCTCTCCCTCTTT